TATGGGGTCTCTATAAATCAGAACCAACTTGAAGGCATTTTAAAACAACAGTCATAGCACTTAAGTCCTCTTTTCAGTGACTTTTAAAATAAATTCCTATATGAATCATTATACCTACCATTCTTGTCAGCAGTATAAATATTTCACTCGTTGAAGCATCATTGCAAAGATACTAGTTCTTCATTCGTAACACTTTTAATTTCAGAAATACATAATATCCCCATGTAATGCATGAAGCTTAATCTGTAGTAATTATAGTAAATTCTTGATCACAAAGTTAGATTTCTAATTCATATAGTAAATGATCTGTTATGTGATAAGATCATATGCATTTTTACTTGGTTAAAGCCACTGATACATAACTATGTCACAGTAGCCATTTCTCTGTTGCAAACATAATTTAAATAATGATGCAGGTAATTGTTTTCAAATTACTTTGATATAGTAGTTATTTCTCTCTTTTTTTTTTATAGGCATTAACTGGACTGATTAATGTTGGCAGCGTAGACTGCCAACAATATCATTCCTTTTGTGCCCAAGAAAATGTTCACAAATATCCTGAGATAAGATTTTTTCCCCAAAAATCAAAGAAAGCTTATGAATATTAGTAAGTATTCTGTCAAGTTTTAAAGATACTTACTATAATTTTTATACAGATAACATTTAAAAGTAATGCTTATTAATTTAAAGTAACCCAAGAACTGTTTATTGGGAGTCGGCAGTATTGAAGATAGAGTATTTACTGAGCACTTAGAAGATCAAAACAAACAATAAGTACTCCCTAGTGGTAGCGTAGTGGTTACGAATCGGGCTGCGAACCGCAAGGTCAGCGGTTCAAAACTACCAGCCGCTCCGCGGGAGAAAGATGAGGCTTTCTACTCCCGTAAGGATTTACACCCTCGGAAACCCTGTACAGGGTCGCTATGGGTCGGACCCGACTCGACGGCACTTAACAACAACAACAAGTGGTTACAAAGGAGCTCTGGGTAGTGTAATGGTTACGAATCGGGCTGGGAACCGCAAGGTCAGCAGTTCAAAACTACCAGCTGTTCTGCGGGAGTAAGATGAGGCTTTCTGCTCCCATAAAGATTTACAGCCTGTTGCTAGGAGTTGGAATCGACTCCACGGCACACAACAAAAACAACAACAAGTGGTTACAAGGAGTCCTGGTGTGGCACTGTGGGCTAATGTATCAGACTGCAATATCATTTGAACTACAAGGTTGGTGTTTCAAGCTCACCAGCTGCTCCTTGGAAACCCAATACAGGGTCACTATGGGTCGGAATCGACTTGACGGCAGTTATCAACAACAACAGTGGTTACAAGTTGGACTGCTAACCTCAAGGTCAGCAGTTCGAAACTACCAGCTATTCCATGGGAGAAAAATGAGGTGTTCTGCTCCCGTAAAGATTTACAGCCTCAGAAACCCTGTGCAGGGTAACTATGAGTCAGAACCAACTCCACGGTACTTAACAACAACAACAACAACCCTTCAGTCTAATAGAGAACTGGACAAGCAGAGGAAGAACTGGCATTTATTACATTTCTACCTGATTTCAGGTATTACACTTGACATACATTATTCAGCCAGTTCATCCAAATACCCAGTGAGCTAGAATGTAATAAAGCAATACCCGTATTACAGATAAGTAAACAGATTCAAAGACATTAGACAATGTTCCCAGTCACACAGCTATTAAGATTTGAAGCTAGGGTGTGAACTCATATCTTTCCCAGTGTCCATGCTCTTTCTACATCATGTGATATTTAGGGTAAAAAGTCACATCCAAGGCAGAATATAATTAAAGTTACTGAAGAAGTAATAATGAGCTATGGACGTCAAAGAAGAAAGTAGTCACACTATTTCAGGAAACCGTGAAATGTAGCTCTTGAAGTGTTACCTGGGTTTTTTTAAATATGGGTAGGAACATAGTAGACTTTAACAGCCTGAGTAAAGATTAAGAAACTGAAGCCTCAGACATGGATGCTTTGTGGTTCTCGTAGATCTCTAGGAGATGTCTAGTGGTCAGGTCTAGAACTCAAACGGACAGCATGACTAAAGAAAAATATATTTGGGAAGCTATATAAACATTAGTTGTAGTGGGATCCATCTGAGAAGAAAGGTGCAAGTCAATTAAGCTTATTTAAATTCCTGTACTAAGATTGTTTTTGTATATATCCAGTGATAGAAAATACTACTTACACCTTACGTATTTTTCTTGCAGTAGCTACAATGGTTGGAATAGGGACGCATATTCCCTAAGAATCTGGGGTCTAGGGTGAGTAATTAGAATATGAATCACAGCCTAAATGCATTCAAAGCAACTTACCTTCCTCATGTCTTTAGCGTTTGTGGTGCTGTGGCTTTGGCGTTGATCTACTAATCACCGGTCACAGTTCAAAACCACCAGCTGCTCCTTGGCAGAAAGAAGATGGTGTCTGCTCTCAAAGATTTATAGTCTTAGAAGCCCTTTACAGGGTCACTCAGAGTCAGACTTGATTCAGTGGCAGTGATATGTCTGTAGTTAAATTTACTGTTAATTACTTGTTTTAGACTGTAACCTTTTTACAAAATCCTTAGTAAAAATCATTTTAATTTACTAAAATATATTGCTATGTTTTGTTACATTGTCATACTTTGATTGTCATTTTTAACTTGGAAAGCCTTGAAATACTACATTGTAGATACTTTTTAAATATATATATAAAATTGAAGAACATTTTTATCATTTTTCACAGATTTTTACCTCAAGCCTCTGTAGATCTGACACCTCAGACTTTCAATGAAAAAGTTTTACAGGGGAAAAATCACTGGGTGGTTGATTTCTATGCTCCATGGTGTGGACCTTGTCAAAATTTTGCTCCAGAATTTGAACTCTTGGCTAGGGTAAGGCTTGTCTGTCTACTTAAAAAAGTTGAATCTCGTGTGTGTGTTACAGTTAGATAAAACATTGTAAATCTGTAATTCTTCTTTTTTTAAAATTGTTTTCTCTGAATTTTTGAAACTTCCATTCCTATGACTAATATTGGCAGTAAATTATTTTCCTCTTTATTCAAGCTTTTAGCAGTAGTCTTCTCTACCTTCTTGGTGACATCATCTGCCTAACCATTAAAGCCAGAAGTCTCGCTGTACACTACCAATCCTCCACTGCCCTGCAGGCAGTCACTAGATCCTAGCAGTTCTGTCTCTTAAATGTCTTTCAAATCTGCCTTGTTCTCCCCATCTTTGCAGTTAGTTTGTATGCGCAAACCTTCATCATCCTATACTTCCTATATTTGTTTCACACTGCAGTCTACCTTCTTTAGTGCTGCCCTGGTGATCTTTCTAAAATAATGCTTTCTTGAGTTTCCTATTAAATAAGTTTCTTGACACATATCACTGATATCAGATCTCCCAACCTGACCCATCCTACCTTTTCAGCTTTATCACATACCACCTCACACCTGACACTTCAGGCATGTCAGACTACTCCACATTCTCTGAACATGACACTCTGTTTCACCCATAATTACTTGCTGCTCTCTCTCTCAAATGCCCTTTCCTACCTGAATATTCTGATTTCTATTACCTTCATCCTGCATCGCAGCTCAAATGAACTTATGTGTTCTCTGCCCTTCTCGATTAACCAGTGCCACCTTAGTGTCTTGTACCCATTCGTATGTATGCTTAAACAGTGCATGCTATTTATTTACATAGCTGTTTCTTCTACAAAACTATGAGCTTCTTGAGGGCAAGGTCAATATCTTGTCTATCTTTGTACTTCCAGTGACTAACTCAGTGAATTAAACAATACAGAGTTTTTTTTCTTTCTGTCTGTCACAGCAGCCCATTAGTGACCTCATCTAGGCCACTACATGTATAAAAGTCATTAGACTGAGTGAGGTAGCACCAGTTCCACCGTACCCAAACAGAAGGGAAGCATCCCAAACTGAGAATTTTTCACTAAAGAGATCCAAAGCGCCTATACGCCATAGGATTGTTTTTGTTATTGACTTAAGAGGCTATGCATTCTTTCTACTTATTTTATCTTCTTATACTTCCCTTTTCTCTAACCATTCTAACAAAATGTTTTATTTTCTCATCCCTCATGTATTGAAATCAGCATGGTTTTGTATTTTTTAATGTATATTTTGAATATTAATTTTAAAAATTATTAAACATGTAAAATATCGTTCATCAAATATATCATAAGCTCCAAGTGAGATGCATTTTGCCAAATACTGAGACTACAAATTCAAAAAGATGAATGTTCCATGTTTTGAAGATTTAATCTGGTGGGAGACTAAAAATGCAAATAAACATATAAAGAGGGCTTCAAAAAGTTTGTGGAAAAATTCCATTATCTTTTATTCCACTTTACCACAAACTTTTTGAAGCCCCTCATAATAGTGAAACAATGCAATTGCCCCAGTGAAATTAGCAACGGGAGCATGAGAAAAAGAAGTTCAAAGTTGTGCCACATAGAAACAAAAGGCTGTGCAGAAAAAGGTAATGTTTGAGGTAAGGATTACAATATGACTAGGAGTTTACCAGTTGAAAGAAGTGACTGGAAAACATGCCAAGCAGAGAAGAAGAGAACAAGTAATGTTCAAGATCTCTACTCTTACTTAGTCCAGTTTTATCAGACTTAAAAGTACAGAAGGGGCATAGCAAAAGCTGAATGAAGCTCAATAGCATAACAAAAAGGAGAAGGTTTGGTCCTTTTTCTCACACAACTCACACTGTAAACTCTACCTCAGTGGTTTCGTACAAGTCAGAATGTATTCTTTATATCAGCATTTTAAGTGCTGTCAGTTTGGTCCCCACCTCTTGACAACCCCATGCACACCAGGATCAGACCTTGTGATCTTCAGGGTTTTAATTGTTAGCTGTTTTTTTGGAAGCAGTTCACCAGATTTTTCTTCTTATTCTGGAAACTTGTTCAGCATAAGCAGTATAGGAGATCTGTGGAGTGATGGTATGGCACACTCTAGGATAAGCACCAGACTGCTACCCACTGCATCAGAAGTTCAAACCCACCAGTTGCTCCTCAGAAACCCTATACAAGTCAAAACTGACTCAACGGCAGTTAACAACACAGGGCATGGTATTTTAGAAAGAATATTGGATAGATTAGACAAGGGCTAATAGGCCAGAGAAAGTTATATAAAACAAAACCAGTGTGGTGTCATCTTATACATAATTTAAAATATAAATAAACTAATACACAAACATTTTAGAAGAGACATAAGAACTAATGAACACTTGTAGATTTGCTGGTCGTCAGTATGAATGTATTTATATGTGCACATACACATACGTACTTGAGAACTTAGCTTTGCTGGTAGCCCTAGAACAAGTTAATCTGCCTGTTGCACACCCCAACCTTAACGGACAAAATTAGAGGCAATTTCAAATGTAATTATTCTGAAGTAAGGGAAGTTGCTAGTTTAAGCAAAAATTAAGGCAGTAGTGATAAAAAGAAGGGGACAAATATAAGAGATTTAAGAATAAAAATATTGGGGAATTTTGGTAGATAAGGGAGAAGTGGAATCTAGGATGACCCTAGTTCCTAGCTTGAACAGTGAAGGAATAGAAGGATGAGCCACTCTGTGGAATGGTTTCATTGTAAACATGTTGTATTTGAAATGCTTTGGAGCATCCAGCTACCACAAGCCTGTGCCTAGTTGACTGTGGAACTGAGGAAAGAGGTGGGAATCATTACTATGTAGTTACATTAAATCTCCCTGAGAGAAGGTTCATAGTGAGAAATTTGAACTCTGGATGTTATAATTTGATGGACAAAATAAAGAAGGAAGAGAACCCCATGCTGAAAAATGAACAGCAAGAGAGGTAAAAGAGCTAAGAGAAAATTAGTGACATAAATGCCAAGAAAGAAAAAAGAGAGGTCACAATGCCGGGTGGCCATTAAGAAAACTGAGCAGTGTCTGTTCAATTTGGCCAGATGGAGATTATTGGTGATGTTAGAACAGTAAGAACAAAAGCCAGACTATGATATGTTAATAAATGAGTAGAGTAGATGATGAGCAAATAGTAAAAGAATAGACTACTGCTCAGAAGAGGTGGGGAGGGGAAACAACAGGGCACTAGCTAAAGGAAAACCAGTCAAGGAAAATTTCCTGATTTTGATTCTAAGGACCTCTGATGGCACTGGATATGCATTGGGCTGCTAACTGTAAGTCTGGTAATTCAAACCCACCAGATGCTTCTCAGGAGAAAGAAGAGGCTGCCTGCTTCTATAAAGATTTATAGTCTTGGAAACTAGTTTCTACGTAGTCGCCATGAGTCAGAATCGACTTAATGATAGTGATTTTTTTTATTCATATAAACTTAGAAGAGGGCAAGAGTCCTGACAGAAAAGACTGGAGAATGTAGGTCGAGGATTCCGCCTTTCTCAAGATCCAGAAGGCTGTTTCAGCAAGCGGGGTCAGAAAAGGAAGAAGGGTAAAGGTAGGAACAGACGTTTGTGGCTATGATGGGCAAACGTGTGGGTAACAAGAACAAGGAAGTTAAAGTGGTTCAACATGAAGCTTCTCGCTTTTCGTGGTAAAGCAAAGGAGATTTTTATCTACTTTTGGAGAGGTGCTGCTGGGTAAAGAGGCATAAGGAGCTAGGAAAAAATTGAAAACTCTTGTTTAAATAAGAATTAAAACATAAAGTTTATAACATACCTAAACCTTAGGTTTATAAGATTATAAATCTTTAGTATGCTGGCTTTGTGGTTGCCAAAATAATTTATGTTTAAGGGGTAATAAATAGCAAACTATGTTTCTCTTTTCAGATGATTAAAGGAAAAGTGAAAGCTGGAAAAGTCGACTGTCAGGCTTATGCTCAAACATGCCAGAAAGCTGGTATCAGAGCCTACCCAACTGTTAAGTTTTTTCCCTATGAGAGAGCAAAGGTATGTGCAGGTTTTCTCACATTGATTCCCTGTCAAAAGGAGATTTGCCTTTTTCTAATTTCTTCTCCCTTTGTCAATTTTTATGTTGTAGCATATTAATGAAACAAACTTCTACTTATTTACATATATAAGGAAGCTTCCAAAGATTTATGGACAAATTCTGTTATCTTTAAATTCCAGTTTTCTAAAAATTTTTTGAAGCTGCCTCATATATCTAGTGATCTTAAAAGGCTTTTTAATCTCATCGTTGACATAATCTCAACTGAAAATTTTTATACTCATGAGTAAAAATCATACTAGTAAAAGGCATGTTAAAACCTTATACAGGGTCGCAGTGATTTTCTTTGGGTTGTGGAATGCAACATAATAACTGAAGTTTTGTATTTCCTACTTTTTATAGAATTAATATATGTTACTTGCATAATCCACTTTTTTCTCCTTGAAAATAAAACAATTAGTAATACTTTTTAAAATATCCTATCTATGAATCTACCTCAATAAATAAAGGGAAAAAGAAGGATAGAGTGAAAGGAAAGGAAAGGAAAAACAATTTACTATTTCTTCCAACTCCCCAAATAAACTTCAAATTGTTCAGTTGATTGATTGGTTGTTGGTGGTTCCATTTTAAATATCTGCAAGGAGAGTTGTTTCTTCTCTTACATCTGGTTGTTTCTTTTCCCAGAAATTACTGTACTCTGCCATCTGAGCCTGCTCCCAAGTAAAATTCATTCTCCCATCAATTTTTGTTCTCCTAAATTTTATCGCTAATCATTATTCCCTACTTTCTAATAAAATGAAAAACTAAAAAGTGAAATGAAAATTTATTTATGTAAATATACATACAAACACACATTCATATAAACTTAGAAGAGGGCAAGAGTCCTGACAGGAAAGACTGGAGAATGTAGGTCGAGGATTCAGCCTGTCTCAAGATCCAGAAGGCTATTTCAGCATGTGTGTGTGTGTATGTATGTATATATATATAAATTCTCATTTCACTTTTTAGGTTTCCACACTGTCAGGGTGTGGCACTGTGGATTAATACTCTGGGCTGTAAAGTCATTGGAACTGCAATGTTGGCGGTTCAAGCTCACCAGCCACTCCTCAGAAACCTTATACAGGGTCGCTGTAGATTGGAACTGACTCAACAGCACTTAACAACAACAAATATACACACATGTATATTTGTGAATGTGTAAATCTCACCTCTTTAAAATATAGGTAATTTGGTTTGTTGCATATTGATAGCGTGATGCCATTTTAGAACTTCAGATTTGCCCATTGTAAATACTTTGAGTCTTAAAACACTACCTTAGTACAATAAAAGCTGCAATACACTAAGAGACCTTTCTTGTGTGATTTTGCAGAAACCACTCTCTGTGGACTTCAGTTCACTAATTTATTAAGCAATGAGTTTGGTGTATATCACCTGTTGTTGTTGTTGTTGTTAAGTGCCATCGAGTCGGGTCCGACCCATAGCGACCCTGTACAGGGTTTCCGAGGGTGTAAATCTTTACAGGAGTAGAAAGCGTCATCGTTCTCCCGCGGAGCGGCTGGTAGTTTCAAACCGCTGACCTTAAGGTTCGCAGCCTGATTCGTAACCACTACGCTACCAGAGCTCCTGTAAGAACTCTTAATTCTGGCATTCCATGAAGATGGAATGAATCTAAGAAAAATCGAAATGGTCAAAACGAAATGGAACACATAACATCTATAGCCTAGTGAACTGAAATAGACTGGTATTGGCCATTTTGAATCTGACAATCACAAGGTTTACTATGCTGAGAATGACAGAATGAAGAGGAATGGTGTCACTTTTATCATCAAAAAGAACATATCAAGATCCGTCTTAAAGTGCAACACTGTCTGTGATAGGCTAATATCCATATGCCTACAAGGAAGACCAATTAGTACCACTATTACTCAAATTTATATACTAACCACTAAAGCCACTGATGATGAAATTGAAATTCTGCAACGTTTTCAGTCTGAAATTGATCAAACATGCACTCAGGATGTATTGATAATTACTGGTGATTAGAATGCAAAAGTTGGAAACAAAGAGACAGGATCTGTAGTTGGAAAATATAGCATAGGTGATAGAAACGATGCTGGAGATGGCATGATAGAATTTTGCAAGACCAGTGACTTACTTGTTCATTGCAAATACCTTTTTTAAACAACATTAAAGATGACTGTGCATATGGACCTCTCCAGGTGGAATATACAGAAATTAATTTGACTACATCTGTGGAAAGCAGTGGTAGAAAAGTGCCATATCATCAGCCAAAACAAGGCTAGGGGCAGATTGTGGAACACATCATCAATTACTCATATGCAAGTTAAGGCTGATGCTGAAGAAAATTTTGAAAGTCCACAAGACCCAAAATATGACCTTGAACATATCCCATTTGAATTTCAAAATCTGAATAACAGAGTTGATGCATTAGACACTAAAGACTGAAGACCAGAAGAATTGTGGGATGACATAAAGGACACCATACAGGAAGAAAGCAAAAAGGAAGACAAGAAAGAAGGAAAAGACCAAAATGGATGTCAGAGGAGACTGATACTTGTTCTCCAGTGTAGAGATGCTAAAGCAAATGAAAGAAATGAGGAGGTAAAAGAGCTAAACAGAAAGTTTCAAAGATCAGCTCAAGAATACAGAGTCAAATATTGTAATGAAATGTGCAAAGACCTGAAATTAGAAAACCAAAAGGAAAGAAAATACTCAGTATTTCTCAGGCTGAGAGAAATGAGGAAAAAATTCAGGCCTCAACTTGCAATATTGAAGGACTCTATGGACGAAATACTGAATGGTGCAGAAAGGTTCTAAAGAAGATGGAAGATATACACAGAGTCACTATACCAAAAAGAAATGGTCAATGTTCAGCCATTTCAAGAGGTAGCTTATGATCAAGAGACAATGATACTGAAAATAGAAGTCCAAGGTACATTGAATGCATTGGCAAAGAACAAGGCATCAGCAGTTGATGGAATGCAAATTGAAATCTTTCAACAAATTGATGTGGCACTAGAGGCATTCATCTATGCCAAGAAATTTGGAAAACAACTACCTGCCTACTGACTGGAAGAGACCCATATGTGTGCCCATTTCAAAGACCCGATGTAATGCAGAAATCATCAGACAATATCATTTATAACACATGCAAGTAAAATCTTGCTAAAGAGTATACAAAAACAGCTGCAGTCATACACTGACAGAGAACTTCCAGAGGTTCAAGCTGGATTCAGAAGAGGATGTGGAACGAGGTATATCATTGCTGATGTCAGGAGAATAGCGGAAAGGTGTTTACCTGTGCTTTATTGACTATGTAAAGGCTTTCAATTATGTGGATCGTGACAGGCTATGGACAGCCTTGAGGAGAATGAGTATTCCGGGACATTTAATTGTACTCATGAGGAAGCTACATAGACCAACAGGCAGTTGTTTGAACAAAACCAAGGAATGCTGAATAGTTTAAAATTAGGAAAGGTATGCGCCAGTGTTGTATTCTTTCATAATAATGTATTCAGTCTGTATGTTACATAAATACATTTTTAGTGATGATTTTTGTATTTGTCCAGAAATGATCTTTAAAAGAAAAAAAAAAAAAAGCTATATCTTAAGAACATTCTTGCTCTGTAAGATAAGCACTGGACTGCTAATCACAAGGTCAACAGTTGAAACCCACCAGTCACTCTATGGAAACCTCAAAAAGGGTTACTATGAGTTGGAACCAACCCAAACTCACCAGCTGCTCCTCGGAAACCCTATACAGGGTGCTGTGAGTCGGAACCGACTCACCAGCACTTAACATAAAGAACAAAATTCAGAGAGTATAAGAACTTTAAGCAGAGCCTGAGTATTCATTCCTTTTGTATCCGAAGCTATGTTTTCCAATTTTCTAAACAACTGAGAAAATGGGTGGCATCAATACAGGGTCATTTTAAGGTAGGATGATGTTAGGGAAGTGTCATAACAAGCTGTCATAGAATTAGCCACTCTATTGTGTGAAGGCTTGTTGTTAAGTGCCATCGAGTCGGTTCCGACCCATAGTGACCCTGAACAGGGTTTCCTGTTCCCATAAAGACTAAGTCTTTATGGGAGCAGAAAGCCTTATCTTTCTCCCTCGGAGCAGCTAGTAGTTTCAAATTGCAGAATTTGTGGTTTGCATCCCAATTCGTAACCACTACACTACCAGAGCTCCTTTTAAGTGAGCTCTGGTGTATTTAAAAAGTTGACATTTTCTATCATGAGCATTCCAGAGTACAAACTTAGGGCCCAAAATATGCCTGTCCAAACTGAAAGACCAGGAATGACATCTAGAAGTCCAAACTGGATTGGAAAGTAGAAGCAGAATAATGAGTGGTAAAATAGTCTATTGTGTGTTAGATACAAACATCAGTACACAAAAATAAAATCTTAGCATACATTTGGAGTACCAGGGTTCATACCAAGTATTCTGTAATTGGTGTCTCCAGATTCAGAATAGAATGGTCTAGGTGTATTCATCTGCACCATTTCTTGCTTTTCAGGCATCTTTATGCTGTGGGTGAGAACTAGAATATATATAATTAATTAAGTTAAAGAGCGAGCCTGCCAACTACATCTCTTGACATTGTTGGAGTTGGTCTAGGTTTTATCAGTGCCAATGATGATTGTATTAAAATGACTTCAGTCCTCTAGGAACATCTTATCTTAAACAAAATAGATGTTTTCAGGTATTTTGAGTTTGAAAACAAGTATTTTTCCCAAAGAATTATTCTACATGTTCCCTTAACAACATTAATAGTTATTTCAGGTATAACATGCGTAAACTGTTCTTATGCAGCATTACACATTTCTCTGAAGGAATTTGCATTTCAGTCAACAAAGTTTGGGGGATTTAAAGACATCTTTAAGGCAGACTTAGTTCTTCACCAAATGGAAATGCCTTGTTTTCATTAAATACATAAACAGATTGTTAAAAGAGTGTTTTTCATTTCAGAGAAATATTTGGGGAGAGCAAATAGATGTTAGAGATGCAAAAGAGATTGCTGCCTTAATAGATGAAAAATTGGAAACTCTACAAAGTCAAATAAAGAGAAATAAGGTAAGGACTAAGACTATAGCTGACTTTGATAAAAATTATCAAACTTCATTCTTATTATTCATTACATGTGTCAAGCAAGTGAAACGAACCTTCAAAAATAATAAAATACTTGGAAATTTCTACTTTGGAAAATGTGACCTTTAGACACTGAAATGCTTAGAATTTTGGACAAGTAAAACCCATTTAACTAAAAGTAGTTACTATGGTTATAAATTATTTTAACTTTGCTGTTACTGTTAAGTGCTGTCAAGTCGATTCTGACTCATTAACAACCCTGTAAAGGATTTCCGAGACTTTAAATGTTTGAGGGAACAGAAAGCCTCATCTTTCTCCTGAGGAGTGGTGGCTGGTGGGCTCAAACCACAGACCTTGTGGTTCACTGTCCAGTGCTTATCCTACAGAGTCACCTTGCTTAGGAATAAATATACTGAAACCTAATAACACATTGAATAGCAAACATCATTTTGTTTTCGGTATTGTTGTTAAAGTGCCATCAAGTCAGTTATAACTCATAGCAACCCTGTATAGGTGTCCGAAGAGTAGCTTATGTGTTTGAACTGCCGACCTTGCTTTTCAAACCGATCTTGTGGTCCAGTGCTTATCCTACAGCACCACACTAAGACTCCATTCTCAGTATAGGGAGGATATATCGGGCCCTATAGTCATCTTTACTTGTCCTTGAATTTTTAAGCTGTCAAGAAGCAGTGCAGATTCTCTCTTACCATTTCCTTAAGACTGGCAGTTCAGTTTTCACTTTTAAAAATCAGTGTCATTCTAAGGCACACTTAGAAACAGTCCAAAGAGTCCATGAATGTTTGAGTACTTTCTAAATGGAATTAAAACAATCACATGTGAGCTTATGGGATTCTTCCTTAGTGGATCTATAGGAGAAGCACTGGACTACTAACCTCAAGGTTGATAGTTCAACCCCACCAGCTGCTCCTCTGGAGAAAAATGAGGCTTTCTGCTTCATAAAGATTTACAGCCTTGGAAACACTACCTATTTAGGGTCACTGAGTCAGAATTGACTGTAGTAGTAGAAATGGCAGTGGGAAGGCAGGACGGAAAGCAGCCCCACCTCAAGAAGAGCTAGCAAAATCTGACTTTCTAGAACCAACCGTAGGAGTATATAGGTTCTGCTGGGAGACAGTTAACTAGTGCAGATTCCTATTACCTTACAGCCTGCTTTGAGAATTATTTTATCCAAATATAAGAGGTAGGGATGAGTCGGGGGTTTTTTTTGGTTCCAGTAAACAAATATTTTTTCTAATGTTTTGGTTACGTTAGTTTTCTCAATATACTGTCTATTTTGAAATTGTGGCTTTTATTTCAGGTTAAACATTTGAAATACAATACAATATTAGTCATTAACATTAGTCATTAACCAGCATTTTGTATAGCAAGAATTAAGTTAAAGAGTCTCCCAAATATGTCTTTGAAAGTATGTAAAACTGTAATTGTTAGTATCTGCTACGGGCAGGTAACAGCTATGAGACACACACGTACCCCTCACGTGCAGTTGTTATAACTAGACAAGGTGTATGTCATGTATTGATCCAATAATAATAATATTATTTTTTAAAGGTTAAATATCAGTTAGTTTATATTCGCTTGTCTTGTTTTTAACATTATAAATTCATGCTTATTCCTTCCTGTTTTGACTGTTTTTTACAATATTACAGGATGAACTTTGATGATGTTGCAAATGTAAAAACTTGAAAGAAAAAGAAATTCTGACATGACATCAGAGGCCTCTTTCATATTAATGGTGGGAAAGAAATGAACATTATCTGGGACTTATGATTGCACTGCCTAACTTCTGTACAACATTGATATAAATCAGGGGTCTGCAAATTTTTTTTCTGTAAAGAGCCAGATCATAAATATTTTAGAGTATATAGACCATATGTGGTCTCTGTCACATATTCTTAAGTAGGTTTTATTTTGTTATGTATTTTAGCAATCCATTTTTTAAATGTAAAAACCATTCTTAGCTTGGTACTGTACAAAAACAGTCCATAGGTCGAATGCACGCTATGGACCATAGATTTCTGACTCCTGGATATATAAGGTTCAAACATGAACCCACTCTGCTGTATACATACTTGTCTAAGATGTGCAAATTGGGCTTTTTCACTTACGGTTTTATGTTGTCCTTAAAAAGGACAACTTGTTCTTTATTAGTCACCAGGTTTTCTAAAAAAGCTTCTCTCTGGCCGTGTCTTTCATGTGAGAAACACACAGTGTGGAAAAATAAACAGATACCCTATTTTCATGTTATAGTGAAAAGACTCTTTGTTTTCTTTCTTTTTAAAAGCTGAAGAATTGCTTTTTATTTGAGTAAAAAAATTACTACAGTAAGTATTAAAATCCTCTAAATTGCTATAGCATTCAGAAAAACTTGAGAAAAAAATTTAGTTATTAACAGTTCACTGTAGAGTACCCCAAATATGTAAAATATTTTGAGTTCTATATATTTTTTTATTATAAATTGAGTGAAGGTTTACAAACAAGATCATCAGTTCTACATTCAGTAAGTCATACACTTTGTTTCATCTCAGCGATTGCAATCCCTCCAAGCAGCAACAGTTATCCCATTTCCTCCATGTGCTTCCTATTTCTATTCTACCTACCTTCCCATCCCTTCTCAACTTGGTCCTTAAGTAAATGTTGCCCTTTTGATTTTGAATGATTGACCATTAGATGGTGAACATACCTTATTAGTGTTGTACCCCCTATATACCTATCTGCTGTTTGACCAAAAATTGGGCCACGAATATGAGTTCCTTCCAGACTTGAAGGGTGGACGAGAACCTTAGTCTTGGGTTCCTCCAGTCTCTTTCTGACCAGTAAGCCCAATCTTTCTTTTATACTTTTGAGTTTTGTTCCACATTTTCTCCCACTATATCCAGGACCTTCTGGTGTAATCCCTTTCAAAGCAGTTGGTAGTGGTAGCCAGGTGCCATCTACTTCTTCTGGTCTCAGAGTCATGGAGACTGATGTTCACACATTCCATTAGTCCATTGAACTAATACCAAGCATCTTCCATTCTCATCACTCTTCTTTCTTCCACATATGGAGAGACTAACAGTTGTACCTTAGATGGCCATTCATGAGCTTTTAAGTTCACAGATGCTACTCACCAAAGTGGATATAGAACACTGTCTTTTGTGGACCTTTTCCTTCTTTCTTGTCTTAATGACTTTTTGCTTTCTTCATGTATGATGTTGTTGATGTCATCCCACAACTCTTCTGGTCTTCGGTCTTTAGTGTTTAATATATCAAATCTTGGATCGTAAGTTATGGACAACATTGTGAAGTATGAGTATCACGGAACACTTAATTGTGCTCATGAGGAATCTGTAAATGGACCAAGAGACAGTTGTTCGAACAGAACATGGAAACACTGAATGGCACCTAACAACAAACAACACAAAACAAAAGAGAACTAATATTAGACTAAGAGCCCATCTCTCAACAGAAACCATGCAGTCAAGAAGACAATGGAATAACATATATAAAACTCTGAAAGTAGCAATTTGCCAACCAAGAATCATATTCAGCAAAACTCATTAACTATGTCGGCAAAATTAGGTTATTTTCAGGCAAATTAAAATCATTTCAACAAGTTGAAAGAATTTATAAAAATCATGCCTTAATAAAACCGTACATATAAAAACATTACAAAATTTACTAAAAGGAATTCTTTGGACTGAAAAAAACAATCTGAGACTAACATAGGACAGTATTACCTAGTTTCTACCCAAAAGAAAACATCTATAGTACTGAAAAGAAAACAAAAGATAGCAGTTGTAACAACATATATGCAAAAACCATTAAGACAAGGGAATAATTACTAGTTACTTTCCAAATGAAGAGGAAATCAAATAGATTTCAAGAAAACTAAAACCTAACTGTAATCCTAAAACCTAGACCGAGGCTTACTTCTAGTCCTAGTCCAACCCCAACTCTCACCCCTAACACTAACCCTAAACATAACCCTTAAAATAAACGGAAGTCCTAGACCTAGCCAAGACTTAACCACAGTTCCAGCCATAACCCTCACTCCTTCTAGTTACCCCACCCTAGAAAAAACATTTTAAATATATACATAAATATAGGTGTGTGTGTGTTAAGTGCCATTGAGTTGGTACCAACCCATAGCAACCCTGTATAGGGTTTCCAAGGAACAACTGGTGAGCTTGAACTGCATACATTGTGGGTCAAACCAACTGCCATCTAGTGCATTAACCCACGGTGCCACACCAGGAATATATATATATGTGTGTGTGTGTTTCCAAGGGTTCCCAAGGAGCAGCTGGTGAGTGTGAACTGCCAACCTTACAATTCAAATTGATCTTGAGGCCTAGTGCTTATCCTATGGCACCATACTGGTGGTGGTTATGTGCTGTGGAGTCAGTTCCGACCCATAGCAACCCTGTATAGGGTTTCCAAGGCTATAAATCTTTACAGGAGCAGAAAGCTCCATCTTTCTCCTGTGGAACAGCTGGTAGTGTCGAACTGCTGACCTTAAGGTTCACAGCCCGATTCACTAGGCTACCAGAGCTCCTTATGGCACCATACTAGGACTCCACATTTCATCATATGTTCATCATATGTTGTTAGTGCTATCGAATCACTTGTGACCCAGTGACCCTGTATAGGGTTTCCTAGGAGTAGCTGATGAGCTTTAACCATTGACTATTGTTGTTGTTGTCAGGTGCCATCGAGTTGGAACCGACTCATAGCGATCCCATGCACAGCAGAATGAAACAATGTCCGATCCTGGGCCAACCTCACTACCGCCGCCACACTTGACGCCATCAATGATGTCACCTGGCTGATCCAT